ATATACATAATCTAATTGTTGAATAGTTATACAATAAGAATATTTATAGAATATTAGTCCATTAATAGTCCTCGAAAGTTACCCGTAATTTAATCTTTGTTCGGATATAACACTTAGTTTAATGTAGATATTGTTCTTAGATAGTACATTTGTTATGTCATAATAATGTCAGAAACTTGATTACATATAAACAGATTAACAAAAGTATGCGTTATGGTCATCAAGGTCTTTAACCTCTTTGAATAATGATAGATCAAATGTATAACTAAATACTACGATGACAATATCAATACCTATTTTTAAGAAATAAATAGTTTCTTCGGCAGCTTAACCTAAATTCATACAGTGTATTTTATTAAAATTTGTTTTCCTTTCTTTGTCATTATGCATACGATTAAAAAGAGTATAAATGAAATTCATCCGTTTATTGTATAGAGATAACATTTTACCTATACTATCGATTTTCTTTCAAAAAAGTAGGTATTCCTGAAAGTAAGAATTAGAAATTCACTTTGACTTAATCCTAAGGTCAGATTATAAACTTTTCTATTTTATTTCTCTCTTCCTGTTAGTAGAACAATGTGAATAGAAATATAGAAACTCATCTCATCAAAACAATCCAGAGCAAATGTTAAGCGTATCGTATTGTTTTGTTTACTTACATCTTTTATTATTTGCTTTTTATTATTAGTTTTTTGACGATTGATTATAAATGTTGATTAAGTAGGTCGATATGTTTGTTACAAGAACATTCATATAGATTGATTACGGTTATTATTATTATTAATGTCCTATCCTTACTTAAACACAAAAGAAAGGATTAAAAATCTACCAGTACTTAGTTTATGATCTAATCCTGTCATTAAATAAACAAAATTTCATCCAAAATCTTTGTTGACCAATTACAATGCAGTAAAACAAGGTCAATATAATCCACTGTGAGTTGATGGATTTATGAAACAACCAGTGATTACTGTTTTGTCATATTTCATTGAAGTTTATGAATACGAGGTTTATAAACACTGATTTTACACATAGAATCACTAAAAATCAAGAAACAGTAGGCTGCCATTTGTCCTTGATTTGATTATTCAAAAGAGTATGATTATAACCTCATTAGGAATTGTCTTAACATTATGAATGAATAATAATGATCCTAGACGACCTGTTTTGTAAATAAAAATCCACATAACAATCGTTTTCAAAACTGATGATCTTGACAAATTTCTTTAATCATTCTGGACTCGCTTCAAGATGAATTCATCAAGATCATGCTAAGAATGATCTATGAAGCTAGAGTACTCTAGGAGTAAAATATATTGTACAAGGTGCTGAATAATGTTTATGTGTTTATCTAAAATTGTTTAATTCATTTAATTGTGTAATTTACAAAAGTTATTTTTAAAAAAAAATGGGAATTGACTAATAAGTTAACTCTCTAACCGTTGGATATCTGCTTTTTTTTCACCACCACTACAACATATAAATGCGTTTGAAACATTCAATTCATACTAATAAATTATATTTTTTATGTTTACATTATTGTTGACTTTGTTTTGTTTGATTATTTGAAGTTGTTTTTTTCAAATGGATTACAGTGTATCAACTAAACTTAATCGATTAAAACAAAAAAACCCCATCAGATTAAATGTTATTTTTATCAATTAATTTTACTGGTGGGAGATTCTAATCATGTGATGTTTTCGTTAAGGGCACTAAAATATCTTATTCCAGATGAAATGATTCAGATTATACAGTATATGACTGAAAATTCTTTAGTTCACATATTGTTATTGCATTTATGACGCCTAAATTAGATGCTTCCAATAAACGATAGTTTTGCATAAATTGAGGTACTTTGATTTGATAAACAAACAATGTCTACTACTATAATTAGAATTATCAGGGGTAGATTTCGGGAAACAGTTAACAATATTTTTACACTAAATGTTCATTGATTGACTAAATCCTGAGGAATTGAATAGTAAATAATTAAAAAATGACTAAGTGACAAACATTAGAGATGTTACCTCAGCTAGCTTATATATTTTAGGCTTTTCTACAAAATTACGTAGTGGCGATAATGAGGTTTGCTAACTCCAGTTATATATTTTAATTTAATGAATAATCATCGCCTTATTCTGTACTGAATGTCTGATTGTAGCAAAGTATTCTAATCATAAAATATAGAATGGTGTAATAAATCTTGTTTATTTATTCACCTGACTGGTGAATATTCATCACTTAATAGATTTGAAAATGTATCTCGATGGCGATTAACTAGATTTTGTCTTGATCAAATTACGCTGTTGACTAGTTTTATTCGTAAAACATATTATTTTCATAGCACAAGCTGTGAGATGCATAGTTTCCAATATGATCAATTCACATTTCTTCAATGTGTAAATGTTGATGAATATGTTCTAACTACCGTAGTGGTTCAGCTCGATGTGTTCATAAACTATCTTTGCAATAGGTTGTAAGCTTATCATAAAAAGGGCTTTATTATATGCGGTTCACATACCTAACTAGTCAGTGAAAACGAAGAATAGGAAGATGTTTCTAAATATTTGTACAGTAAAATTTAGGTAACTCAAAAGTGTAAGTACATTATCGATGTGAGGATAACTACATATATGTAGAACAGTAAGGTTGGTTCTACGCTTTACATTACCTGTCACTAAGTGAACTCATGAATTCGAACCAACCTAATAGAAAACTTTTGAAACTAGTCAGTAGATTATAAGGATTATAAGGTTATTTGTTATCAAATATACTTCACATAACTCGAATCTAAAATCATTTCTATCCATTACATACTATAATATTTAAGTGCTTTATTCAACATTTGATCTAAAATATTATGGTTTATAACTGCTATTATAATTATCATAATTTCAATCAGAATAATTCATTTTACTCATTTACTAAGTTTATCTAATGAACTTTCGATAAGAATGCTTAATTATTTATATCTTCTTTGAGGTATGAATTGTTTTCTTTTTGGTTGAAGTCCTAGCTATGCATCTTCATCTATGTTTAACAACTGTCTCTAATTCATTTGAAATTTTCTTTTTGTTCTTTTTTTGTAATTGAATGTTTCGGCTTTTACAACATCAAAGAAAAAATCTAATTCAAGATTTTAAAATGGTAATCATGTTTCTTATAATGTAATATAATGTACAAATTTGTTTTATTTCTATGTATAGTTAATGAGAAAACAGTGATGAGTGATAATTATTGAAACAGATTTTATCAAAGAAATTCGGACAATGTTTTCTAAGAAAATTTTTTTTTGAAAACATTTTCTCTCATATATGTGAGAAATCAATTTTCCGAAAGTATATAGATAAATAATTACATTCATTTAGTGTTGTTCGCTTGTATCTATTCATTGTTGTTTGGGGCTGAAATTGATCAGTCTCTTATTGGTTTAGGTACATACTGTGTAGATTGCCTCGATATTGCCTTAAGTCACAAGCGTTTTTAAACAAAGATGGATGCACATATCCCAATAAGAGACTAATCAATTGCAGTTTTTAAAAAAACAATGGGAAGATACAAACAAACAATACCAAGTGAATTTAAACTTCACCTCATTGCACAAACAGATGGCTATCAGGACTTAATAGCTAAGTGGATAATTCCGATGGCGTTTGAAGCGAACGGTACTAGGTTCGAATCTCAGAGTGAACAACAACTCTGAGATGCAGGTACATCCATTTGACGAGTCCCGAATAGGATGGAACGCGCGGCCTGGATTCTAATGCTAGCCACTATCCATCTTTGCTTATAAATAATTACGTTTTATTTGTGTGTTGATTGATATTTTAATTGAATGGTTTACCTATATGTTGAAATTTATTCAATACTTCAATGTTTTATAAAATTACATTCTATGTGAATTGAAGTTTACTGTCAGAAAATAGTTTAATAACAACTGTTAAGTTTTTTTGTTGATATTCTACATTTTACTTACTCCTTACTGAATTGGACATAACATTGATTTCATTCTTAAAATGTCATTATGATGAAAGTAGAATTCATCTTTTTATTGTTGATTTATATTACTGTTATAAGAGACTTGATAACTATGCTTGTATCCTTAGCTTCAAAGCCCATTGTTTTATCTTTAAAGCCAATGATATCATTCGTTTACTTAAACAGAATTAAATGATGAAGAGTTTCTACCTTTAACAAAGTCACTGAAAACAGATTACTTATTATCTCTACTACTGCTACATTTTTACTGTGAGAAACATTCTTTTCTTGAAGAATCTATTTAAGTATAGTAGCAACAAATAAAACAATTAGGTTGTAAGTAAAAGTTTATAAGCCAATTGTACAGTTAGAAATAAACAGTTAATTTGATTCAAGTGACTTATGTTTTTTGAAAGTTTAAAATAGCTACCTTTTTGTATGTGAATAGTCTATCAATGCAAATTTCTGCAACCCATAATTGGAGATTTTGGAAGACATTATTCTTTCTGCGAGTTCTTCTGTAGAATCAAAGATACCACAAATATTTTAACTCCCCTACCATGAGTCCCTTAATATTGCTTGAATTACATCGATCAACTTACAATTTAGTTAATGATCTGAGTAATGCAACATCTCGGGCACTATGTTATAGTGTTGGGCCGTTGAAGATAGCTACCAGGAGACCATGAACTCTAGTTCTCTGACAGATAGCGCTATTCAACACAAAGTACCTGGAATCTTCAAGGAATTGATCCTCGCTGATGTGCTCAAATCCAGGTCATTCAGCTTACATTGTGAGACGTTACTAATGAGTCAAAATGGGTCGAAATGGTAACGTCTTAACATCAATTCCTTTAAGAATACAAACACCCCCTGTTGATGCATGCCGACTAATTCAAAACATATGTCTAGGCAATCCTGATTACTATCTTTAACCACCTAACAAGTAATAATATATTTTAAAATTTTCCTAATCTTCCGTGTTTTATACACTATATTAATTTTTCTCCATTTCATAGAAACAGACTATGAGGAACCAGAAAGTCATATTGTTCGACATAAACCTGTTGGTATTAAAACATTGTTAAGGAAAACAAGATTCTCAAGAAAAGAATTACAAATTATGTATCAAGGATTTAAACAAGTAAAATTCTTTTTTACATTGATTACTAATTATCTGAGATCTCACAAATTTTTTACTTTTCAAACTATTATGTTAATTAAATTTGAAACCATAAGTTCTGGTGAAAAGCCATGGCCAGTGGAGTTCAACTAGGTCTGTTCTGAGATAGTAACTCACTGATGACAATGGTGGACGGTGGCGTATATTCTTGGATGGGTTGAAGTTAGACATTAACACCGTTGGATACCGGCTCAGTGGTCTAGAAGTTAAGCATTCACGTGCGAGACTGGTAGGTTCTGGGTTCGAATCCCACGTGTCGGGATCGTGGGTCCGCTCTGCTTAAGAGTCTCACAGTGGGACGAAACGGTCATTCAGGGCTTCCAGGTTTTCCATGGTGGTCTAGCTTCAATTGACTCTTGAATTCAATTATTAAATTAAAACATGTATTCACTTTCATATGTTACAAAGAAAAAGAATCAACTGATAAACATGAATTATGCATTAGATGATGAGATTTACTTCATATTTATTTCTGTAAAGAATTACAATTTCAGTTAGGGAAAATAATCATGATGCAACTAATGGTAATATTCCTTTAATAAACTAATAAGTAGAAAATTTTATTATTAATTGTCTACTTATTGGTTAATTTATCTCAAATTAGTAAGTTAAACCTTAGCATTGATACTTACAAACTCATCATAATAATGAAGGCAGGTAAAATTCAATTCATGTTAATGATGTCATATGAGCTTGACAGGAATCTATTTTAACAGATTGTATATAGAGGTTTAGCTATAAAAGTACTAAACAAACCTCATCATCAACAATAATTTTTCTTACTAAATTGAATATGAAATCACTTTCAAAGAATTATCAGTGGTCAAAATACTCTTTATTCAGGGAGTGAAACACTTCATTCAATCTCAACTAAAAATACTGTTATATTCAATAATAGAAGCATTAAGAGCTTCACATCAAAGTATTCACAATATTTCGTTTAGTCTGCTTGAATAATATTCAAATTAGGAAAGAATAATCGAGAAACAATCAATTTTCCATAAATAAGAACGATTAACAAAATTGGTAGAACTTAGTACCAATCAGTGTTCATTGATGATAATGTTAAATGAACAACTTTCTATCTCTTATATACAATCTACATAATTTCATTCTAGAACTCAACTAACTCAATTACTGAGAAAGTTGAAAACTAATATCGTTTCATGACAAAAAAGATAAGCCGTTTGACGGCAGTATATATATAAATGGATTCATAAAAATCAACTTGAACATGAAAAAAAACGTTTCCACTGATAAATTTGTTAATCTCTTGACTTTAATAAGTCAGCTTTTTTGTAATCCTTGTTTTATTTCTAAATATAACTAATATGAACTGTTATAACTTGTGAACTATATGCCATGTTAATGTATAACGTAACGATACCGCCAATTAGAGAGCAGTGACTTATCGATCGGGTCAATGACGCGTAAACCCGTAAGAGCAGTCTAGAGTCCTTATTGGCTGTGCTTCGTGCCTAGCCCAGCCAGTTAAGTCCAGAACACAGATCTCAACCTCTAAAAATGAATCATTTATTTCAAACATACTGAGTTTATATACCAACCAAACAGACCACATCGTACCACAAAATATGAAACAACATTTGTACAAGCATTAGCCAAATGTGGCTATGAATGAGGGAGGTAGTAAATAATAGACAGGGCATAATTCAAGAATCGTAGATCGTATAGTAATAGTTCATAGGTCAAAATAAAGCTCACAATAAGAGGGACATGAATATGAATAGTTTAGTTACATAACATTTATACGATAAAAATGTACTCATATTATTTGTCCATAAATAGACCCCAAAAATTACCATTCATTATTCTTATCGGGACATAACATAAACCGGTATACATAACAATAAATAAACTTTTAATTTTATGAAATAAAAAGAGTAGAATATAAGTGAATACGAAACCATATCAACTTACTTAGTTGATTGAATAAAACGTAAATATAATTAATAAAAAGTGAATTTCAATAGTTGAAATCATGAGTTAATTAAAGCTAGACCATCATGAAAAAAGTGAATTCTCTATTTTTTCATTCTTGTGATAGGTTTACTGAGTAATTAAGGTGAATAATGATTGTCAATGTTATAAATTCTGTTAGAAAAGGTTAATATGTAGAATGTGAACAGATTTCAAAAGCACGATATCCTAATATGTTTCAAAAAGGATCTGTTATGTTTCATCATGACAACTACTTTTGAAGAACCACGAACAGTCGATAAAGAATTTTGCTACATTTTATTCTAGCTGACAGTGTATTTTGAAAGTGTCAATAATTTGATAAGTTATGGACTCATCAGACAAATAGCGTAAACAAATATCTCTAGTTTAATTAATTTTTTTTTGCCAGCTTTTTTAAAAAAGAAATAACCTATGGGAGTTGGCTTATTCACGTTTGAACTGAAATCTTTTCTGAAACTGCTGATCATTTCATATTGTTCACTTAAAATCACAACACTTGAGTCTACTCAAACTATTTAATGAAAGTTTTCTGAACAGAGATCGCTTGATATACCATTTTATATATGGTGATCAAATGTATTTATTACTCTTATAGATTAGAAATAATCATTTACTTTTCATTTGAACGAAATAAAGCCATCAAAAAAGACCTAATTATGCTCAGTAAATATTTAAACTTACAACCCCTCAAGACATCTTTCGTTGACATTTATAATCATTTCAAATGTACACAGTAATTTGTAATAGTTTTACATGCTAACGAAAGATAGAAATAAATGAAAAAAAAATCGATTCTCAACTTATCAGATTGACCGAGACATTAGGAGTGTAATTTCACAGTGTTTATCGAAATAAGGTATTCATCGAAGGGATCTCTTCAGTGAATTTATTATTCAACTGCACATCTGTATATATGTGTATAAGCTTTCTACTCGAACACTATAGACGGGATTAACAACTCTAAGTTCTGCTGGTCATGATTTTTTTATTTTCCCACTTTTATTTGACTTTTTCATGGATATATGTTAAAGACAACACTCTCATCATCTGAATTTTCAGGAACCGACCTCCCATTAGGAGATTCTGTTATTAAATTAGAATACGCAGATATTATAGCTCTGTTTGGTGAAGACGCTGACAAAATGTAAGGTCTTCTAACCTCTTTACTCAACAGTTCAAGCATATCTAGGATACGTTTTTTCCCTTCTAAATGCCAAATTTTGCTTCAAAACTGGTGTCCAACAGCTTCTGAATTAATGATAGATGGTGAAAAATTTGAGTAGGTCCATCAATTCACTTGTGTTGGTGTCTCACGAAATCTGCAAATGGATTCGGAAAACTTGTCTAGCTTTTGCCAGTTTGTGTCACTTGTGGCATAAGTGAGATACCCATCTGCCAAACAAAAAACGACTCTACTGCTCGGCAGTTCGTCCACTCAATTTTGTGTCTGTGAAACATGGCTTTTAAAAGTAGCGAATATTCATAGATTACTAGGATTCAATCATTGGTGTCTTTGATCCATTGCTCATATCTGTTGGGACCATCAAGTTGCCAATTTTGAGGTTAATGGCAAAGTACTAGGTAAGTTTGGCAAATCTACTGACGCGGTAGTGAATCTTTGTCAACCGTGATAACTTGAACACTTATTACACTCGCCCATCCACCGACCAACTCTACATGCTGTGATATCTGATGTAGTAACAGGTTGGAATGCAATTAATAATGGTACAACGAAGACATGAGGCCAATCCATAAAGACACTTAATGTTGAACTCAGTCATATAGGTAAGTGGAGACTACCTGTTCGAGGTTTACGTGATTATCGTACCAAATGGTTTGAGGCTTTAAATGGCATAGTTCTAAATCGATCATAATTGGAAAGGTGCATTCATCCTTAGTCTTCTCTTAGGTCTCACATTTCTGAATTCCCTATAAAATTTCTTATTTCACAAATTTATATTTTCTTGTCTCATTATATCTTCAATGCCTAATGTTTTCTATTACAACTAATACTGATAGTTCCTCTACAATGATAGGGTTTGCTTTGAGAATTTCATTTCATTGTATTAATGGAGCGTAGCAAACTGAACTAATGTACATATGTACTAGGTTTTTATGTTGAGTATGACTGACTGATTGATTAATAAAAACCTGGTTAGAATATCACCTATTTTAGTGAAATTTCTATTGATAAAGTTAATTATTAAATGTGACGAAGTTTTCTATTGTGTCAATCATTTGAAAAATAATAAAAATGACGGTCATGAGAGACTTTAAAGAAGATTGATAGAATTGTATTCACTGTATCCTGTTTAAAGTCTTTCAAACAATTTGTTTATAAAAAAAATTAAAGATATTTTCAACATTTTAAGGGAGGTTTTAAAATTAGTTATTTTCTCCTTCCCCTTTTTTTGCTATTTTTAGGAATGTCCAGCTGGTACACTTAATGAAGATTCATTTAAAGATATCTACTGTAAATTTTTCCCTCAAGGAGGTAAGTAATAGTTACATATTTTAAGAATGATAATGATGTATAATTGTACAACGGTTTGTTCATTGTTTTTTTTTAAAAATGAACCTAGTGGAATCTAACCAACTAATTTCAACAACAGGATGTGATTTTTCGATAAGCTATAGAGAAAAAAAATAGTTGCCCTAATTGTAGCATCTTAAAACTGAAGTACACTGTCCGTACATTCATTTGAAAATGTTATGTAGATGACAGTTTAATTTTCATGTATTTATTTATTTGTTTCATTTTTCTTTTGATGAAATGAATCAAACTAAAATAATTCAAATAACTTATCGCGGAATAATTTAACTTGAACTTATTAAACAATATGTAATATATTATAATCGAAACCTCAGTGTTAAAATGTAGTGTCTAGTACTATGTCAAGCCCAAATATTTTATTTTAGCTTTGAGATAGATCGATTTATTCACTCCCCTTGACTCATATTTTGATCAACACATATAAGCGAACAATTGTGTTGTTCTAATTTTCACAATGGGAATCTTTAATATTCATATTTTGATCTTGTCAATTATGTGCTTATTAACCTTGACTTTTTATATGAGTGTATGTGTTTATTGCTTACCCTGTTCATCACTTACCTTCGGCTTATTTTTGTCTGGCTGTAAATATTGAGTAAAGCTTCATCAAACAGAGTTGGGATGTTTGCCTTTTCCGACCTGCTTCAACGCTTCGTTTTCTCACTCCTCATTCTTAATGTTTGTCTGAAAAAATAAGTGCCTAAAATGAATTCATCAAACGCAACCCCTTATTTAGCTTCTTATTATAGTCGTCAGATAAATAGGGTTAATCTAAGTAATTTATCAAGTTAGATGGAAGATTTATGTCCATATTTAATTCATTCATTCTTTGAAATTAGAATCAGACAAACGAGTCACCAAAAAAGTCTTAATTTTGACTGATAATCTAGACTTAATTCCTTCTAAATGAAAATGGATGCAAAATGTTACTGGGCTTAAGTATTCTGGAATAACAGACGAATAAATTTTAATTTTATATGATCTATAAAAGTATTCTAAGGTAATAAAATGTTGAAATCTATTTTAAATGTTAACGATTGACACTACTATTGTCTGTGAAAATACATAACTTGTTGATTTTTAGCTAATTGCTTTGGTCATCTATCATTTTATTGAACATCACTTTTATAACACACTTAAAAGTCATTCAGAATTATTAGGTTATGCTTTGTTGGATAGGATCGTAAGATGGTGGTTGGAGGTAGTCAACAGGAAACCCTGGACCTGGATTTCGTGCTACTTGGCACTCGTCAGCAAGGCGTACCTATAATCTTGAGGGAATTGGTGATTCCTGACGGATTCGATCCCATGTCACCGAGCTTCACAGTCAGAGACGTTACCACTGGGCTATCCGGGCCGCGACCGATCTCCTCCCAGTGCACGCAATGTCGAGTCACCTAGACTGGTAGCCACATTGGAACTTGGTCGATAGCATTCGATCTGCACTAAGAAGGACTTGACACACATGATATTGATCACCACCCAGTGGTCAATCAATTGTGAGGGTCGATTTGTAGTTAAGTTTATCAATTTGTGCTAGTTGATAAATGATGATATATATTAAGTAAAATCAAACAATATAATTAATTAGATAAACACTACATATTAATAAAACAGTTTCACTTCTATCGATTATCAAATTTTCATGTTAAAGTCAAACTAATATTGACATTAAATCTTATTTATTACTTTACCTTGTCAAATTTATTACATAACAAAATGAAATGTGTTCAGATTGAATAAAAGTAATAAACAAAATCATTTTTAATTGATTAAATAATTATAAACTCACATATTATGGTACAATTTTTAGTGTATAATGCATAAATCATCAGTTCAGTATTTATTCAATTGGACTAGATTAAACGATACTAATTTTTGTTACAAATAAATTACTTTAGAATATAACTCTGATAAACTCACCCTTCAAATGTGTTGTAAAAATTCAATACTTTCCATTTGTAATTACAATTAAATAAATTATTCAGATGATAAACTTATCAAGTAATTAAGCAAAGATGGAGAGTGGCTAGCAGTGGAATCCAAGACGCGCGTTTCGTCCAACTGACGAGTCCCAATTAGGACGACACGCGCGTCCTGGATTCCACTGCTAGCCACTCTCCTTCTTTGCACAAAAAGCTTGTGAATTAAGGCAATATCTCGGCAATTCGCACATGAAGCACATATGTCAACAAGAAACTGGTCAATTGTAGACCTAAATAACATTGGGAAAACCAAGTGAATTTATCAAGTAATTGTTTTTATTGAAAAAGGTTTAGTGATTAAAAGATATTTGCTTTACGGTAAAGTTGATATAAATAACCTCTGATTATTTATCAGCTTAAACACCTATTTGAATTACAGTCATTATGTCTTACATCTTAGTCTTAATTAAAGTAATTAATAAATGAATGTACTTTTTCTACATTAAAATATTTAACTTATGTGAATAGTCTACAGTGAACTTTTTATTCATTTGTTTTAATCAATTATAGTGTATTTGTGTATAAATTAATGACATTTAATTCACAGTTTTATTTCAGAAAATAATTTACTTTTAAAGTTTGGTAAATAGTTATTCAGAGAATGGGGTTTGTAGAGATTGTAGTAATTTTAATAGTTGAATTCATGGGTCGATGTAAGCTAGACCATCATGAAAAACATGGGACCACTGGATGGCCATTTTGTACTAGTGTGGGACTCCTCAGCGTTCTCGTTGATCGAATTCTCGAGCACTGATCTCCTACCAAGAGATCCACTTATCTACTTAGATACGCAGATGACATAGTCCTGTTTGGTGAAGATGCTGATAAAATTCAGAGTCTTTTGGTAGCACCGAGCAACAATGCCGAGATGTCTGAGATGCGTTTCTCCTCCTTTAAATGCAAGTTGTCTCTTCAGGACTGGCCTGCATCTATACCTGAACTAAGGATAGGGAGTGAGGCAGCCAAACGCGTCGACAACTTCACTTATCTCAGAGGTCTGATCAACATTAATGGGTTGATGCCCGACGAAATCTCTGCACGGGTTCGAAAAGCTCGTTTGACTTTTGCCAACGTACGTCATATATGGAGAAGGCGAGAAGACGAGTATACTGCTCAACATTTCGTTCTGTTCTACTTTATGGCTGCAAAACGTAGTCATTAAGAGTAGAAGATACTTGTAAGCTAGTGTTTGACCACAGATGCCTCAGAAATATTGCTTACATCTTATGAGATTATCGGGTAACTAATAGTGTGGTTAGATTTAGGGTATTAGAGAATGATTGTGAATCAATTGATTAGGTTGTGAATTTTCATCGACTGAGATGATTGGTCCACGTGTTACGTATGACTGAACACCGATACCACGACGTGCAATCCTAACCGGTGTTGGAGATGGTTGGAGGAAAGTTAGGGGTGGCCAAACCAAAACGTGGCATCAGTCCTTGAAGTCACTAACTTCTGGTCCAAACCATGTTGGTAGACGCAGACTATTTGGTTGGGGTCCGCGTGACTATCGTAATCAATGGTTGGAGACTCTGAGTGACATGGCTCAGAATCGATCACAATGGTGTAGGTGTATACACTCTTTGTCTTCCCTTAAACTATGAGATTAAAATCGATTCATATCTTTCTTTCTACGAACTAATTCTTTCCTCCTGTACTATATCCTTATATATAATCTTTCTTTAATATAATACCATAATTGAATTAGCTACTTTATGAATTCGGTATTTATCTTGTTGTGCTAATGAGGTATGGCAACTTGAACTGATGCATGTATGTGCCTGGTTCTATGTTGTAGACGACTAACTGACTAACCCCATCAGTGCGCACCCACGACCACGTTCGCGGGATTCGAACCCAGGACTTTAGATCTCGCATGCAAACGATTAACCTCTAGTCTTTTGAGCTGGTTGGTATCTAATGGTGTTAATATGTAACTTCTATCGATCTATGAATGGCTGGGCAACCAGTGCTTCCAGGTTTTTCGTGATAGTCTAGCTTACGTCAACATATGAATTCAACTATTAAAATACTTATTCAACAAAAAGCCCTTTGAATAGAGACGTACTCACTCATAAATGTGCATTCGAATGCTATGCCAACAAGAGTTTTCTTTTTTTGTAACTATTCATCAAGTGACTTTTTATAAATACTTAGTTTATAAAGACAAAAACTTAGGGGGATTGTAATGTGCAATATTTTATTGTTTAACTGAAAATACACCACTAGTCCACTGAAACTATCGAATTAATTCAACGTTACAAGTTACTGATATAATACGTTAATAAAATAAATTTGCTTTAAAAAAATTCTATGAATGAATCGATCTCCATTTTTATTTTTGGAAAGAAAAAAAAATAAAATGCAAAGAAACAAATTTGAAACAAACAAAACAACAACTTCAATGTACTTCCACTTGTCTTTCAATAAATATGCTTGTGTATATATTTAAACTCAATTAGAAATGGACAAATTAGATTTATATCTGCATATAATGGATATATTGATTACTCGTGTCCAGAACATATTTTTTTGAAAAAAATTCCGAATGTATTGTACTAAGATAGACTGTGAGAATAGTATATAATCAACTAGTATTTAGCATTGATATAAGTAGAATGTACTATGAATTATATAAATGTAATATAATTTTATATGATTATTTAGTTATATTTACTTTTATGGATGAAACCTTTCATTTGTTAAGAATCATTAATGAATATAGGTGTTTATATGAGAACCAATGACGATGTAGATGGTTATACCTTATAAATTTTCAGTAAAATTCTAAAAGGTCAGTATTAGTTCAGCTAATGCATTGTGCTGATTTGACGTTATGCTAGTAGTTATAAAAAGCTTGTATAGGATTTGAATACAACCATTACTAATCTATTCTTGTAAAACCTAATTACCGTGGATCGAAAATGTTTAAGAATATTTCCATCACATTTC